GGTATGAATAGATGTTAAAAGAATAAGACAATATTAAGGATGTATAATAATAACTATAATATATGTATCGATGATTAATGATAAACAAAGATAATATATACTAAGATAGGTATGAATAGATGTTAAAGTATAAGACAATATTATATGTGGATGTTGTTGAAAAAGTATAAGATTTGTACTGGTGGAAAATAATAAAAATTTATTTAAAAAAAACCAAAACCCTAAGGCGATCTAGGAGCCGTGGTGGCACAGTGGTTAGAATGCAGTATTGCAGGCTAATTCAGCTCACTGCCAGGAGTTTGATCCTCATTAGGCTCAAGATTGACTCAGCCTTCTATCCTTCTGAGGTTGGTAAAATGAGGACCTGACTGTCGAGGGCGATATGCTGACTCTGTAAACCACTTAGAGAGTGATGTAGAACACTATAAAGCAGCATATAAGTCTAAGTGTTATTGCTATCTAATTAGCACTTGTCCTGAGGGCTAGCTTTGGAGCTATTTATTTGCAAGAAATTCTATCCCTGAGCAATTAACTTTCCATATAAAATACAGGAGGTATGAACAGAAGTGGGATGCTACTGCTGAGCCAGTAGCTCTGAAGGTCAGCTGAGACCAAACTAGTTCTCTCAGATGATCTGCTGTTGGGCCCAACCGCCTGCCTGGGTTCCCATAATGATCTTTATTTCCTGCTTTTGAAGTGTAGCTGCTTTGTGCAGCACAGCAGATTGCTGTGTGTCAGCTGTTGAAGACATAAGGAGCGTGCAACATTGCAGAAGGTGAGTAGGAAAGCCTCTGTGCATGCGCAAACTGTGCGTTTGGCATGTGCGCGCGTAAGCACACCCACCTAGCCACACCAACCAAACCGGTGGTAAACCACTTTGAAAACCACCACTGGATATGAAGCAAAAATAATCTACCTTGCCATCTCTGTAGAGCAAAAAATAATAGTTCCTAGGGGTTATTAGCTCCATGACCCAATAAGCCAATTAAAAGGGAAGATGTGTGTATACATACTGTAGATTCATTACTAAGAATACATATACTTAAAGCATATTTATTTCTAAAGAGGAGTTTCTCTCTGTGTGTCTTGCTCTCTCCTTTTTCCTTCTCTCTTCCTTTCTCCATTTCTTTTTCTTTTCTGTCTCTGTCTCTCACACTCAAACACCCATCCATCGATATCTTTTCTATTATAGAGTGCAGATTAAATACAGTAGTCTGCATATAATACCTGGCAGATGAAGAAGATGGATTCACAGAAATATTGGTCAGATCTGTGATATTCAGGAAATCTTTATGGAAATAATGCAGTTGAACAATACAAACCAGAAGAAAGGCACAGAGTAATATAATCTTTGTAAAAAGTTCCTTTGTGTTGAACCACTCAAGGCCCACATCTTTTAATCTGCCAAATGAAAAGACAAAAATATATGCAAAGTCAGCTGATGAAAAGGAAGAAAAGAATTATTTCACATTACAGGTATTAAACATATGTATAATTATTAATTTAAAAGAATAATGAACCTAGCCAGTTATTTGGAGAAAAGGGGCATTCTCTAACCTTTATCAGGTAAACATATTTCAGGACAATATGAGTGTGAACCTGCACACCTGTGGCCACCTTGACTACCCATCAGGCCTCAAACTAGCTCATTATATTCCTGTCAACAGCTCTGTACTTAAGAGGTAAATAGGGTGAATGTTGAAAGTTATTTCTGTAAATAATATTCTAAATGTGTAGCTCATAGGTCTTTGTTGGAAAAAACTTTGACAGGACTTATATGTAATAATCTGATACAGCTCTCCAAAGAACACTTTTTCCTAAAGAAGAAGAAATGTCATCTCATTGGATAATGTGTTGATTGAACCTAATTACTAGGCCAAGTAACTTGTCTAACTATTTAACCCTATTATGAAAAGGCATCAAGATTAGCTTAGCCAGTTGTTTCCTCTTACAGAAAGTAAGGGGCTGCCACAGGAAGGAAGGGGTCAAGCTATTTTCTAATGTGCCTGTAGGCCAAGGAATAATGGATGGAAACTGAACAAGGAGAGATTTAACCTGGAAATAAGGAGAAACTTTCTGACAGTGAGAACAATCAACCAATGGAACAGCTTGCCCTCGGAAGTTGTGGGAGCGCCATCACTTGAGACTTTCAAGAAGAGACTGAACTGCCATCTGTCAGAAATGGTGTAGGGTCTCCTGCTTGGGTGGGGGGTTGGACTAGATGACTTACAAGGTCCTTTCCAACTCTGATGATCTGTTATCTGTTAAATTCCTTTAGATACCCTTCTCTGGGCAAAGAAGATAATCAGTGATCAGCCTCCATTTAGAAATTCCAAGGAATACTAGAGGCATTTTTCAACCTTATTGATTTAAAAAGCAACAGAATGTAGCTAAAATTTCCCATTGCCGTATTATTAATCTCAGTAAGCAATTCTTACCTGACACTTTGTATAACCTAACAGGACCCACCATATATGCACATATACATATGAAACCCAGTTTCGTGTGGTGGTTAACCACAAGTTCTAGTTCTGCCTTAGGCATGAAAGCCAGTTAAGTGATTTTTGGTCAGTTATTCTTTTTCTACCTCACCTCACCTCACCTCGCCTCATAGGGTTATTGTTATGGAGAAAATAGGAGGAGAAAGGAGTGTTATATATGTTCACTAGCATGAGTAAAGTAATAAAAGTGGGATTAAAAAAAACAATCTAATAATAAATATATCTGTGCTTTGCATTGCCTCATTTCCATCATTTATATGGCCTTTTCCCAATAATTTATTACACCTTAAATCTAATTCCCACAAGGCATACCAGAGCTACCTATCAGACTGAGAAATTGACAAAAAAAACCCACTTCTATATTACTACAGGATGGCAATTGGGACTGGAATTTCAAATTTCAGCACTTCCAGTTCCTACACTTAAGCAAATCCAATGCCATTTTAATCATGATGGCCATTGCCTTTGGTTGTGTAGGTCCCAAATGGTGAGGTGTTGCAACACTGTAATTGCAGGCTAGTTACTAAACACCTGTATCACAATCATGTGATGCAAGTACATTTCAATTACTGGAACTTTGAGGACTCATTGTAAGTCACCCTCATTCAGGGCCATTTGAATGATCACTTAACTATATGTGTGTGCCATGACATGCCCATAGTTGAATTAGATTTGGAGAAGATTTGAAAGATGTAGTTGACTTCATCTAGTACTGGCATTTATATTTTAACACATTCTTTATTTGTTTCTTAACACAAGAGAATTTGGGGGAAAAAATTTCAAGATACCTAGCAATATAGAATCTTAAATTAAAGTTCTTACCTTTCCTCTGATATTTCCAAAGATTTTAGGAAAAAATCAGAAACCATCTCAAACTGGTAAGTATATAAAGCAATGAGGATTATCATTGAATAGGAGACACTTATCAGCCAAAATCCCTTCAGGATTCGTCGCCATCCTTCATAATGAATCTAGAACCAACAAATTTAATTTTGTAGCCCTAGTATTGAATATAATCAAATAACCTACTGGAAGGCTTATAGCAGAGTCACAACAAATCAAGCTGAGCTACAGAGTTTTCAAAGTCCATTTGTCTTTATATTGATATCAAAATGCATCTATAGACAAATGTAGTGGATCTGCAATTATTTTCTTTCCTGAGAAATTTCAACTTCTTGTGCAATCCTCAGAAATTTTAAAAAAGAAAACTCTCAGTAATCATAGCTACTTTATGAGGCATAGACAGTTTCTCCCATGTGAATTAAAATAACATGGCTAGACTATAGAATAAGTGGATTATTTTTATTGTAATTTAATATGAATCTATCACAGGCATGCATTTCTGAAGCCAAGGAATGAACTAATTTTAAAGTACTTCTAAGTCACTTTTGCAAATAGAATAGCATCTGGAATGTGATATAAGTTTATAGATAGTTTGGGAAAAATATACAAATACATGGAAATGTACTTTTCTGCAAACTTCCACACAAATTGCAAATTAATGTAGAAATAGAAAAAGATTAAAATTTCAAAGATAAAGCATCAAAAGAACTGCAAACTAATGGATTTGATTTGGCAGTCCTTTTTTTCCCCCTTCAGATGTTAGGAATCAAACAGAAGTCTCAAATTCCAGATCTGCTTACCTGATATAAAGCCACACAGAACAGAAAAAATATAACGTAAGGAATTTTATACAGGACCACTTTGCCTTTGAAGCTGACAATAAAGAACATGATGGAACAGAAGTATATCCAGTATTTTACTAGGATCCTCTTAAATATAGAACTGAGTATTTCTATAATCGGATTTTGCGATGTGCCCATTTCTGCAACAGGAATGTACATTCAATCAGGAGCATCGTTAATAGTTAATGGACCAGAATACTTTTTAGGATAAATGTCATTGCATTTGACTAACTATTTATGGTATAATATTATAATCCAGAGTATGCTTATTTAGCCACAAGTCTCATTGGATTCCATGGGATTTCCTACTGAACAGCTCTAAATAAGACTGAGCTTGGAATAAGCACAGAATACCCATTTTTCTTCCACCTCCACTGAAATGCTACCTATATATGCATATATGCCCCCTCTTTTTTCTTAAGAATGAAATATTTTACATCTAATGCCTATGCTTTATTTTCTATTTATACAAAGCATAATGCATATAGCATCTGTCTCATCCCCAACAATGCATATTCTTGTTGTTCATTCTAATAGACTTATTCATTTTCAGACTGTAGAGTTTTCACTCCCTTTCCAACCAATTTTAATACAGCGTCAACCATCCCCATGCCTAGTGGTTCCAAACCACATGAGTCAAATTGTTTTCCCTTTCATTCACCAATAGAAGAGTACAAAAAATGAGACTGAAATATAGCCACTGAGTGTCCCTGGCTTCCAAAATAATACAAATAATTTTGACCTCAGTCAATAGAAAGAAAAAAAATATCTAGCATGCATCCATGGGCGTGCACACATATATGCTTTCAATGCTATGAGATGGTGGTGAGAATAATGGATTTCTTGAACCCAGAAATTGGGAGCAGGTGTGGGGAGCAGAATCTGGTGCTCAACTCACTGATTTTTAAACAGGGAAATCAATCTTTTTTTAAATGAAGGCTGTGAAATAGAGTAGAAAGATTAAGATTAAGTTCACTAATAGGGTTGCCTGTATTTCTCTCCTGACATACTGAAGTTGCAGTGAAGTTGTAGTAGAGACTGAAGTACACCTATCTGCCTTGAGATATGGTGAAGCAAGACCAAAGCCAATAGAAAAACATAGTTTATAAGCCCTAGTAGTGTTTCTCAACTTTGGCAAATTCTACAGCCAGCAAGTTTTCAATTGACAAATACTTCTCCAGAGTTACAAAAAAATCCAAATTGAAGAATTCATGGTTCATGGCTACCCAGGTTCAACCTAAACATATCTTAGAAAACCCCTAAATAGGTTGTACTCTCAAACTGCTTCTACAATAATGTAGATTTTTCCCCTAACCATCAGATAGAATCTTTCTTTGTATAACTTAGGACTATTTCCTAACTTAATTTCTCTGCCACCATTCCTGGACTGAATGAAAACTTTTAAAATCCATTTTAAATAGAGGGGCAAAGGATCAGGGTAATTTTACCCAATGTTCTTACCAGTTTGATGTACTATCACTTCTTTAAGAAATTCCTCCTCTTTTTGCTTCTGTATTTGCATCACATACTGCCTCAACAATAACCAGAAAGTTAACTGATATAAAATCTGCAACAGAACCACATAGGTATTTTAATGAGGAATATGTACATGAGAACTAGCCAGCACTGGAAGCATGCCTTCAATTTTACTGTCTCTTCAGCACCCTGCAACCTCTACTGATCACAAGGACAGGAGGGTATAAAGAGTGTCTTTTGGAAATGTATTTATTTATTGCTTGTTTGTTTATATTGTATTATTTTTTATAAACAATTTAAGGTAGTAAAAATATCTAATAGTTCTTCCACCTCCTATTTTCCCCATAGCAACAATCTGTGAGATATGTTGGGCTGAGTGAAAGTTACTAGCCCAAGATCACCTAACTGGTTTTCATGCTTAAGGCAGGACCACAGTCTCCCAGTTTCTAGCTTAATGCCACTAGACCGAAGTAGCAGTTCATTTTAGCAAGTATATGCTTACCTTGGCTCCCAGATGGACACAGGGAAGAGAATAAGGTTTCAAATCTAAGTCAATGAGTAATGAAGTTGCTACTCCTGGAAATAATTCCTCTTGCGAAAGATTCAGTCCCACAATAAAATTAAGAATCACCAGTACATTTCCATAGATGACAAGAAAAGGTAAACTGCGCAAGGCATAGAGATGACGGTCATGTACCATCCAAATTATACAGGACCAGATTAGCAGAACAAAAGTTAGCCAGCTGTTGTAGGTGATACTCCAAACCTATGGATGAATACATAGCAATTATGTATTTTAAAGCAGACAGATTTTGATAAAATTGCAGTTTCATAGACCAATTGGATAATAGGACAGTAAAAATATAGCCAGCATATAACAAGACACATTTCTTATATTCATTTCATTCTGCTACATTCGTGTCTGATTTCTGGCAACTTTATAGGCAAATGTTCTCCATGTTACCTTATCAAGCACAGTTCTTTTAGTTGTTGAATGTTTATCTTTGTATCAGTTTTGATAGTATCAAGCCATCGAGTTCTTTGATTGCTTCTTCTTTTTGACCCACTAACCATCCTAGCAGTTCCCCAATGAATTTGCACACATGACTTGGCTAAAGTAAATCAGGCGTAGCCTTGTGATTTTGGCTTCTAGTGATATTTCTAGTTTTATACAATTCAAAACCTCTCTATTGGTTGTCCCATCTGTCCATGCTATATGCAAATATTATTCTCTCTTAATTGACTATCTACCAGATGCACTTTTAGAATGTACTTCTCTGATGTTCACCTTTTGTAGTGTAACATGTGCAAACTTACTGCATTTGGTTAGTTTATGTTTAGTATATTGTGCAAACCTTGAATGTGGATGCATTCAATAGTTAGATTAACCCTATTTTATGAATGAAGCCATAATTTTAATCTTAACAACTTTATACAAAAATATACCTAAATATAACTCCAGAATAATCACATAAATATCATTATGGATATAATTTTGATTTAAGACATGAGCCTTTTAAATGGAGAAGTGGAAAGCATAACATCATAAGATTGTGAACAGGGTGAGCAAAATCAAGTTCAAAGTAGATATGCATTCAGATATGCAAATTAATAATTCCCCAAATTCCTGTTCAGGTGACTTTGAAAATTTGATTTATTAAGAAAGTACACAGCCAACTTGGAAATGCTTCTGGTCATTTGAAAGGCAATGGGTTCTATAAAACAGCAGTGCAGGGATGCCTGGTTGCTGATGCTGGTAACAGCTCTTAAAAAGACCACAAAAGGAAGTTCTTACCATCATAGTAATCAATGCAATGACATAGCTCTGATTTGCAATGAATTGTGCCAATGCTAAGAATGCACTAGATTTTTTTTCCATGTTACATTTTTCATTAACTTCTTGTGAGGTTTCAGAATATATTGTGTGCTCTGCAAAATATATAAATTTGGAAAAATGACAAATTACAAGTAATGTCCAGGTTTCTTGAAGTCCGTTTTCAATTTATTTTATTTGGTGAAAACAACCCAGTGTCCTTGAAACTCACTTTGAAAAATTCAAAAAAAAGGGGGGGGGGAAGAGGGAGGGAGGGAGGAAGGAAATGAGGAACAAGCATTAATTATATATGAGCACTTTCTTATACATACTCATTTCTCCGATTCTGCCTTCTATTTCCAGCAAACTATTGTTACATTGAAACTAATACTTAAAAGGGGTCTTAGGAGTAGGTATTTGAAAGGTAAAACCAACTGACTCGCAAGGGCTCTCTTACTCATTCCCTTATAAATCTCCCTTATAAATGACCTATATTGATCACTATAGGTGGTTTGATGAAACATGACATGCTGAGTTTGATTGAAATTATAGTCCAACACTCCTGCAGGGCATAAATATGAATAAAAATATGTGGTAAGCGTCCACATTTTCTGATAGTAACAAAGAGCTACTGGCTCCTTCAAGAATAATAGATTTAATGTAATTTACTTTCAGGAAAATAAGAAGTTGCCTTATGTTGAATCATACCATATAATTCAGGATTAAAGACCATGATTAGAAGCAGCTTGTAGGCTAGATAGATTTTCTTATAGACTTATTTGGACATGCCTGGGATTAATCCTGGTCCTTGTGTCATGAATATGACATGGTCTAACGCCTAAGCACAGTTATTTATGGATTCAAGTTCATTTCACCAAATGCAAGAAGTATTACAATTAATTGGCAGTGATACATTAGCATTTGTTCAAAACATTCATGAAGATATTCAGAACACAATAGCAGGCAGGAAATATTTTTGCAATAATTCTATGCAAAACTAATGATAGTTGAGTGAAATAACTGTCAGAAAAACAATCTGACCATGCATTCTGCATTTTACATTTTGCATTTGGTTCTGCTTTAACATTCCATGCATCCTGAAGTTCATGCAACAATGTTAGATTTTAAAAAAAATAAATCTATCATATTAAATGTTTAAATATTTAATATTTAAATATTAAATAAATATTACAAAATGTTTAATTGTTTATTTTTAATTATTTACTATAAAATAAATATTCAATTATTTTAATATTAAACAAATATTTCATTAAAATAAAATCTTTTAAATATTTAAATGTTAGATTTTAAAAGAATGGTTGCAGGAATTGGGTACGTCTAGTCTAGTAGTGAAAAGAAGGTTTAGATGATAGCAATATTCCAACACTTGAGGAACTGACACAAAGAAGAGTGGGTCAACCTATTTTCCAAAGCACCCTGACAGTGAGAACAATAAACCAGGAGTTGTGAGTGCTCCATCACTGGAAGCTTTTAAAAAGAGAGTGGACAACCACTTGTCTGGAAAGGTATAGTGTCTCCTGCTTGAGCAGGAGGTTGGACTAGAAGACCTCAAAGGTATCTTCCAACTTTGTTCTTCTGCTATTCTGTTAAAATGATATATTTCTCTCTTGTTAGTATAGATGCTCTATGCATCAGTATAGTAACTATTTCTCTGTACGGTATCTTTTTAGGGCAAACAGAATGATCTGGCATTCAATATAGAACATGCAATATGCTATGTACAGTATACCTGATAGAGAAATTCTGTGTCCTTGATTAATACAGCCATCCATACTGCAACTGCTATGATTCTGATTTTGCAAAAAGAAGCATTCCTGTGGAATTTCACTTGAAAGAGAATCCACCTAGACAAACAATGGAAGTGTTTTTATTTTATACAAAGAGGGAGGGTTTACAGAGGTATCATACTCAAGGTAAAAACACTGCTACACCTTTTCTTTTGTCTAAAAGCACTATTATTATTAAGTTTCATTTTTGTTAGGTCCCAAAAGTTTCATAGGCTCTTAGCACTGTGCCTCTTATGCCTAATCTAGGATACAGGCATGCTACAGTAAGAACTTCTATGGGCTATCTTGGGAAGATAAACTAGAGATTTTGGGTTATTGAAAAGTACAAGATATATGTACAACTTGAACATAACTGGAAACAAATAGCAAACTATCCATGCAAACACTATTCCCAATACCTAATAACAAATCAAAATTCATTGGACCATTTTTTTTCATTTTATCAGTCTTCACTTCATATTGTATTTTTTTCTTATGTACACCTGAAGATTTATTTTTAGACGGCAGCAATAAAGGGCCATAGAGTGTTTTTCTCTAATTATCTCTCTCACTCCAAGGATTATTTGCCTGAACACCCTGGGTTATTGTTAAGTGATATCATTGACAAGGATTATGATCACTCCAGAATTTTTAATACCGGTAGCATTTTACCTTGCCATTGGCATCCATGCTCACCTGAAGTGTAGAACGCATCTTAATTTCTACATAGTCTTCAGATTGAAATTGAATAACTTCTTCTTTGGATCCCTATATGATGCATTAATTTAAATGGAGGAAAGCCATCATGAAAACAATAAAACATACTATTTTTATGTCCATAGTTTACACCTAACTTGAGCTATATGTTTAAACCTGGATCTATAATCATTTTATAGCAGGTGAAGTGATTTCTTTAAGGAACAGAAGGTATAAAAGTAAATAATGTAGAATCTTCTCAGTAGCTAGGACTATCTTCTCATAGCCCTTTATTTCTGCCATTTTTCTCTCAGCTAAAAGCCTGATACTTGATATTAGCCAAATAACCCAGTTTCTCTTTCTTGTGTGCTTCCTTTGCTTTTTAAATGAGATCTCATACAATTAGAATAGATCATCTAGTTTTAAAGGTTGATTATAGAATTTAGGATCATTGCAGGCATTGTAATTGTAATCTGATTTACTGGCAAGATCTAATACATGTATCTTCCTAGCAGAACTAACACAAGACTGCAACAGAGTTGGGGAGGTTTCCCCTGAGGCACTAGAAACAATATGGGGAAAAAATGAAATCTACGTTCTGCTTAATAGAACATGCAGTTTATTCACCTGACTAATGTCATAATAAATTATTTAGCATATCCATGGTTATTAAATATAACTGCTGTAGCTAATAGGGATTATGTTTTACTTCTTGCATTATCTCATGTGTCCTTTGAGCAGAAGACTGAGTTAAATATGCTTGTACTGTAGTAGCTATGTGCATGAGTGTACATATGTGCATGTGTGTGTATCAAATATTTTTTAAAAAACTTGTGACTAAAATAGAAGAAATATCTTCCCAACAGAAGAGAACATCTTTAGCTCAAGGTTAAAATATAAAGTCCTTAGTGGTCTCTGAGCTGTTTGCTTGCAGATGTCTCCTTTCCCAACTAGTATGAATGAGTGTGGGGCTTGCTATCTGTTTATAGATAATAGCTTGCCTGATAGGTGTGGTTTTCTCCTTGGTGATTTCTTGACTGGAGTATTGTTTCTGCCAGATGGTTAGTCTGTCACTGATCCCTGCACCCACCAGTGCTACCCTCACTACCACTAGCTACCATCCACAATTATCTCCATCATCTGCTGCCCACGGCCCAACAGCAGGGGTAGCAATGTGCAGTGGGAGTGGCTGATAATGAAGGCAGAAGCAATAGTGATGGCAACCATGACAGCCATGGAAGTGGGAAGGGTTGTGTTGTTTTGTATCAGCAATAGCAGCAGGTACAGTGGCCTGCAGAGATAGTGGGTACTGTGGCTGGCAATGGTGGTAGTAGCAGCAGCAGTGTAGGTGAGTGGCCAAAAGACAAATTGGAGGGTGGGGGGAGAAAACTAAAGTGGAGGCAGTCTCTGCCTTGCAAGAAGAATGGTTTGGATTGGGGCGGGTCTTCATCTAATGACCACATGGGATTCGCTTAACAATGGGAACAAGGTCTGTTGAAGCTGGCACCATTAAGTGGAGCAGTCATATGATGTTTTACTTAGTGACCCCTTTCCTTAGAAATGGAGCTGCCAGTCCCAATCAGGATCCTTAAAAAGTGAGGACTATTTGTATTGTCTCTAATGAACAATCTTGCTGCTTAGTGCAAATGTGTTTGAGAGTTGAAACAGGCAATTGTATTGGTCTTATCATTTTCAGAAAAATAACTGTCTGGTAAGACTCGGATTCTTAACTTTTGAGTCACAGCTCATGATAGTTCATCCTGTGTTGAGATCAAGCCAGAAAAATCTGAAATGTTGACAAAGTTCCACTAATAATAAGATCAGGAATATAAGCCAAATTAAATCATTCTGTATCCTTGAGAGGAAATCTCAAAGGTCTCACTTATTCATACTTAATTTTAATATACACCATACCTTAGCAGGCAATGCCCACTGCTGCAACATTCTGACCAACAAATAATACAGGGCAAGAAGGAAAAAAGGATTCAAAGCTACTGGCCAGTTTAGGTGAGGATGAATATGCAGTTTCCAAGGTGCAGTAATGTTTGTCTTAATAAGTGGTATTATGCCCAAGATCCTAGAGAAAAAGACAATAGAAGAAAATCTGCAGAGAATTTTTTTTTATAAAAATCAAAAATAATAGGGCCACATTATATTAGTCTACTAATATATCATCATTACATAATAACAGCAGTATCAATTCAGCTTTCTTAATAGGTCAATCCTATAGTGCAACAGTAAGTCATAACACAGAATTTTTACTACCATTTCATACAAGCCAATCTATATGGCTTATTGACTTCCAACATGGTTAAAACATATTGGCTTTGTAATATGATTAATACACAGATTAAAGTATTACAGTTCTGGACAGTGTCATCTCTAGCAAAAAGAGAAAGTCACAAAATGTTCTGCAGAACTATGCAATATATTACCTTTTTTTCTTTTTGATGCTCCAGTTTATTTTTTGCAAAGATTTAAAATAAAACAGAATAAAAAACTCAGATTCATACATGCTGGAGGAGTGGATCCAAGGGAACCAATTCCTCAACATCTAATTTAATCCTAACCAGTTGATCACATGTATCATGTTGATACATGGCATTAAGGATTTTTTCTGTGTCTTCTTTGCTCATCATTCTATATGGTCTTTTTCTCAGAGACTGTTAATCTGGCTCAAATTGTTCTATCTTTCTTCCCAGGGATACAAAAACAGAACACAAGTCATTGACTCTCTCCCTGATAGGTTATAGCAATGTAGATGTTAGGCTTTGCCCCATGCATATGTAGAACAAGAACAGAGATGTCCTTGAACAAGTGATTGAAAAGGTGTTGCATAAACAAGAGTTTAGCCTGAGAAGGGAAGAGGGAGACAGAAAAAACTCAAAATTGCCTAGCTTTGAAAAAAAGAGGGAATGTAAAGGAAACAGTGTCAGAGTGCTAGATTTCTCTTATTATATCTTGTAATTAAAAAATGGATAGTTTGGATAGACTTTTTTCCTGATTTGGACTGCTTGAAAAAAATAGCTTTAATCTTGAAAACCTGACAGGTTGTCTCTCCCTCCCCTTCTTCCAAGTGATGCCCAAGAAAATAAAAACAGAGCAATCTTGAGTGTCTTTCTCACTTCCTCCTCCCTTGCCAGGCTAAGCTGGTGTTACCATAATGGTTGCCAAATACTATTTTCAGAGCTATCTTCAAACTTTAACATTCTACCATATTTTCTGTTATAATTATAGAACCAAACAACTTTCTATTGTAATTACTACACCTGCCGAGCTAATCATTGCTCAGATTAGATTCCCGCTATCAGGAATACATACTGTACATCAACCTCAAATAAAGCACAATTTTAAAAAGCAAACTTCCCTGAATCTGCAAGTTCTACTGCTTCAGTCTATTTCAGGCTTCTACTTTTGGGTGCATCTGGAGGACTTTATTTTCCAAAATTCCCTGTCGAGTACAACAAAACTTCAGAATGTTGAACACATCTGAAGAGGGCAAGCAAGTTGGTAATATCTGTTCTGCTTCATAATTCAGTGAAATATGTATAATATTTTCCTCTGAGTAGAGCCATTTCAAATAATATTGTGAATACATAAATGTGAATGAGCAAATCTATAATCTTAACTATTATGGTACTTAGAATGATTCTGCAAATAATTTAGATGCACCTGTACATAGGAAGCACTGAGAACTGGTAGCTTTTCCTTGGATAATGATCTCAAAGCACCCTGCTTTATTTTTCTTCTCATTTTCCTTTTCCTAAATCTAAAACTAAACAGAAATAATGATAAAATAAACAAAATAAAAATTTCAGAATTATTTTGTATGCTATGTGCTCTGTACTTCTTCAACTCAAATCATTTTTTTCCAGTGGCAAACTACAATCAAGACTTGAAGTGAGTGATATGGTGAATACAAGGTTTTATTACCTTCTACCAAAATGACTGAGATAATCAAATTTAAATAAAATAAGCACAGTCAATTGTGGTTTCATCTTCATGCTTTCTCATCTGTGAGATTTGTTTTTACCTGACATAAATGATTTCAGAAGAGATAAGGTCTTGGAAGTATGGCAGTTGGTACAAGTAAAGCACAATGATGTGTCCCGCGGAAAATATTGCAAGAAAAACACACAAACTATTGAAGAGAACTGGGCTGATTGGACAATTCCAGGACCACCAGGTGCACAAACCCAGGAAGGTAAAGAAATAAACTGCTGAGCATGCAGAAGGTAGAATTATACCTAGGGATAAGGAAATATGATTTACTTGGTTATAAAGTCCAGTTTATACCATTGGAAAACCATCACAAAATTAAGAATACCTCCATAGAAATAAAAGCTCTCGGGATGTAATAAGTAAAATAATAAAATAAAATAAAATGGAATGGAATACAGGTAATCCTCATATACAGTACCAATAGTCTCATTTAATGACCAAAGTTACGATGGTGTAAAAAAAAACACTTCTCACATTTACATCCATTGTCTATGGAGATTCTCAATCAGATCATGGTTGTTGCAAAATGTTTTCCAAAAGGGAATTGGAATTTGTTGTTTTTTTTTCTCATCCAATAAATATCTGAAGAACTGAAAAAACTTCTTGGATGAGAAGCTAAATGCTTTTTTTCCTTAAAAAAAAACCAGGAAAGTCTAGTTGCCTTAGAAAAGCACCTTGGAATATACATCCATTATAGACTTAAAATAACTTTAAACTTAGAATAACTTTATTGTCACTTTGAACGTAAACTAATTGGCATACATTAAAATGAAATTTCATTGTATATGGCTCTCAAAGTGTCACCACCTCCAATATATGCTACATAAACATGACAAAATAAATAAATAAATAAATAAATAAATAAATAAATAAATAAATAAATAAATAAATACCCACATATATTACATGGCACAGAGAAACAACACAGTCTAGTTCGGATGTATAATAAGTATGGAGAAGTCTGCATTGATGGATGTAGGAAGACACAGATGAAAAGCAAAAGCTAGTCCAGTGAACACTTCCAAGTTACTACTACTATGGGGCCAAGCTTTCCATTTATGACTTCTTCATGTGGAGAAAGAGGGATCATTATTAACTGAAACAAACCAGGAGATACCTGTTCTCCATTTGGTATAATCTGTAGTATCTTGTCATACAAATAACCTATTGTTGTATCCAGATTTAAAAATGCCAAAGATCACCTTCCCTTTTCTTTCGTCTTGTGGGGGCACTATGTGCCTAACCTAACCCACTGCCCCACAAATATGTGAAGTAACTTGTACCTGTTGAGCCTAACAGAAGCATAATGAAGACTTTGCCAGCAGTTCTAAGTGTGTCTTCACACAGAATCTCCAAGTCTGTTAGGAACAAAGTGAATTTCAGAAGGAAACCTGAATGGCAGCATCTTAAACAATCCTTTTCAAACAGACAACCAATGTCTATGTCCTCAGTATCTTCAGTTTCTGCTTCAGATTCCTGCAGACATGGAATACAATATATTGATCAAGAATCTGTACTCAACACAAACAGCAATACCATCAGACAACAGGAGGGCCAGAGATTCTGTTACAATTCTGTGTAAGGAATTGTTGTTTCTCCAAATAAAGAACTTAAACAAATCCAATTGGGGGGAATGTTGATGGATTATTTCATCTTCTTAAAGACTGATACCCTATCAACCAATCAACAAAATAATAATAAATAATAATAAAAATAAATAAATAAAAGGCTCTGTTGATATACTAATATATTCAATATATCTGTGTTGTCTTGTTTTTTAAAAATAGACAAAACAAAAAACTATTTTCTTATCTGATAAATGTGGAAAGGCTATCTACTTTTGGAAGGAATATGAGAAATTAGACATATCTAGCATAGATATTTCTTCTGTGCTCTTCAATGAGTACAACACTTGTTTAACTGAGATCTATCTAGGAGATGCAAATTTCTCTAGTTTTTAATGCAATCTTTTTAAAAGGTATTTTAGGCTGTAGCTATGTTTATACTTTGCTTCAGCTCCTCCAAATTTAGTCAGATTTATTTCTAAATAGATATGTATCATAGAAGGCTAATGAGTCCAAATCAAACATTTGTACACAATTATTGCTACTTAATTATAAGGATTACACACAGATTATTAGGTAGTTTAAAGTTCAAGTTCAAGCCAAATAACTCATTTGATGAATTATTTCCATTTCCAATTAACTGATTATATCCCATTTCTCAGACTTTGAAGTATGTTAAGCCTCAATTTCTGTCATCATGGTTCAGTAAATAAAGCAAAATTGACTGAGCCATAAATTACTATGCAAAAGTCTTCAGTGCAAAAGTCTGAGCTAAAAACTAACCAACCATACTACACTTGGGTAGATTAAGATTTTGATTCATGTTATTTATACTTGACAGTTATATTTGCACAAATATTTTATGAAACTAACTCAATTCTATGGATTTGCATGACATATTTGTGTATATATGTGATGCATATAAGAAGAATGAAGGGCTTTGACTGCACAATTGTGGCCACACATTTTGACAACGTCTGACAAACAGACATTGAAATAAAAATAAATAACACAGTTTAAAATAGCACAAGGTGCAAGGCTAAAAAATGGCTGCTAATTTGAGGTTCAGAATATCATGTAAATTAAGTCACTGGCTGCTTCTATTATAAAGGATAAAGGAAGACCCTCTCCCTTTCCTTTTCTAATCTTCATCTGTTTCTGTTACACTAAGAAATGAAACATTTGCAGCATCTCTACCGTCTCTTTCATGTCTTCTTCCTCATCCGAAGAGAACTGATCATGGTCTCCAGATGGAAGCTCACTTTCCCAGTTGTTGAGTTTCACTGTCTTACGGCAAAGCAGCATGACAGTCAGACCAAAAAGAAACATTCCAATGTCAGGAGCCAAAAGATGTATAATGTTTCCAGCATCAAGCCTGCTAAACCTACAGGATACATGGAATGTTAGTATTTTATAAAGCTAAGATTTTTACAATCTAGTAGGAGAAACTTCTTTATTTTTGCTCCATTTGCAATAAATCAGGTTCTGATTTAGGCAAAGCAATACAAGCTTTTCCTTAATCCTTGGAGCTCAGAAATCTGGAGAGTGTCTAACACCATCCAATTGCATTTTAAATCCTCGTGCCTGGAAATAAATTCTACTCCTAGCAGTAGGATTTAGGTCCAGTTTATTCACTGAGAAAAGAGATACCATGCACCAGCCAGTTACCTTGTATCACAGTTGAAGTTGTCATTTCTGTATTCATCTATCCTCCTGCATCTTATAGATAAATCTTCTTCAGTCAGTAAATTGTTGTGTGTTAAACTTTAATCCACATAATTAAGGCTATCCAATATATTTTAAACTTTAATTCCCATAATTAAGGCTACCACTACAGAAATCTAGATAACCATTGGATGGCAACAGAGAGATACAGAAAACAAATTATTTGCTGCCATCAACAAGTCCGCTGAAGGTTTGAAAAAACCAAATTTAGTAGGCAGCATTAATAAAATGGCATTTGCACTACTGGCATGTGACTTCACCATACTAGAGGGTACCAAATGATAATGAGTTTGAGAAATAAGAGGATGCCACCAATGTTTTATGCTCCCAAACATTCACAGCACAATTTACAAGCATCCTCTTAATTTCTGTTGCCATTTTGCTAATTTCTTATTCTTCAGCTTCCAAGAGACAAGTGCAAAGAACATCTTAGAATTAATCTCCTGCCCCATCTAAACTTCCACCATATAACAAAAGTCCCCTCTATTTTCATGCCACACACAAGGAAAATAAAAATGTGAGCACATATTTTCCCTTCCTTCCTTTTCAATACTTGTATTTGTTACTGGGTGCATATCCCCAAAGCTGTGGCCATTATTGCAAATTGCTCTGGTGGCTGGATTGGGGAAAGGGGGATATTTTCTGATAAAGAATGGGTTGCTTCCCCAAAAAGCATTAAACAGACTCTTTGTCCTGTCCAAACACTTTTTATTAAACGAATGTGAATTTATTGCATTCCCATTCAGCCAACAGCCTGGCAAACAGTCTTTCTAGGGTATAATTAGGAGCTCAAACCTTATCTATCTTGGAAAGCTGCCCAATAAATATTTCCAAACTCAGTGCTGACAAGGAAGGGCTGAGCACAGAATCTCTAGGATGCAGACAGTCTCTAGATCTTCACAATGATGGAACGAACAAACAAATGAATTGTTTCCTGCAAAAGTCCCCTCCCCTTTTGCTCTTCTTTTAATTCTTATGGGAGGGGGCCATTCGTCGTCCATCTGTGGCCTTACTCCTACGTCGATTCTGAGTTCGTAATTGTTCTTTCCTTTTGGCAGCTCTGTGCATGCACAGGTTGGGAACCAGTTCCAGCTGCTCCCCCTGCCCCACTGCTGTCCAAACTCAAAGACAGCTGATGACTGCCAGCCTGCCCTGGCCCCATCTCTGCCTCTGATGCAGATTCCTCATCCAAGTCTTCCTCAGCCTCCAAGACTGTCCCAGGTTCCTCCCCAACCTCCTCGCTGTCCAACTCTGCTGCCAGCTCCACCAGCCGCCGGCAGGCTACTGGAGGAAAGATAAAGAGAGGAATCCTTGGCTTAAACTTGGGAGCCAAGATGAGGTGAGAGTTGCTATTATGAGTAGAACAGACTGCCCGTCAGGTCTGAAATCAAGAGATTCAAAGGAAAATACTACCTACAAAATACTGGAGAAGAGTCATTAACGTATTGATTTATTTTCTCCAAAACAGACAGCATCATGAGATCAGTTAGGGCTGGAGCCAATCCCAGAGTTGTGCAAAGTAGACGTGTCTTTTAGAGCTTTCCGTAATGAAGCTGGAATAACCTGATGGGTCACTAAAAAACAACTTGCACCAGTGAAGCTGCTACAAACAGGCCCCAATGCATAGGCTGAGGGTCCCAGCCCAGTAAGGTCACAAGCTATGCCAGAGTGAAAAACAATTGGTGTGTCAAAAATGCCAATAACTCAAAATGGAAGCAGATGCGACATACATTTAAATAGGTTTTCCCAAAGTGTGAGGAACAAGACACTAGATCCATCAGATCTGGCTGTCAAAAAGACAGCAGCATTGAGCTTTCCTTGTGACTTTCTAGAACCTTTGGAAATTGGTTAGCAATGGGAGAGGAAGGCTTGTCTGCCATAACTGATATTTATATATATATATTTATCAAAATATTAAATTATTTATAAATATATAGAAATAATAAAATATTTATCCAAAGACTCCAGTTATTGCCCCAGATGGTGCAATCAAAGCTCTGTGGCACACATAAAAAATGAGCAGAGTTTCAATTGTATTTCATGGCTGCTATTTTGACTTTTTTCAACTATGGATGCCTAGTTCCCATGCCAACAATAAAATCCGGCAATTTAATTAAGATCTTACCGTACAATACCAAAATGTGACAGCACTTCCTCCCAAAAAAAATCTGTGAAAAGAAAAAAAACATTGGTTTGGAAACGGCCATTATGTTCCATTCCTTAATATTTTAACATATTGTTTGTACTAAAAATGTATATTTTGGTGGAACTGGGGTGTGTTTGGGGATGTGTATCTTACACATGGATTGTGTTATTGGCAAAAACTTTTAAAATGAAACATTTGCAGTTTGTAAATATGAATGTCTTAGAATTTTGAAATTGGCAAGGAAATAAGTGCAAAACAATGTCATTCTAATTCAAATTAAAATCAATTTATACAGTATAAACATGAGGGACATGTCACTATCCAAGTCATGCTTGGCTTGAACCCTATGAGTAATAACAAATGTTTTTAATAATCTATTTCTGATAAGTTTCAAATGGCCTCACATCACCAAAATCAGAAAATAATTTTATCCCCAAATAACACTTTTAAAAATCTTTGTGTCTGCTTTTGAACAAAGTAACTTGAGCATTTTATAAGATTTTTTTGGAAGATTCCAGAAAAGGGAAAAAATTCTAAACATACAAGAAACAATTTCCCAGTAATTCAGATTTAAAGATAAATTTACATGGAACTAGACATTGTTATTTTGTAACTGTAAGTACCTTCTAAACTTTCTTTCTTCAAAGAACTTAACACGATAGCTTACTAAACCACACATAAGCCAAGTCTTTGCATACTAAAATATATTCTATACCCTATTTCTATTTCTTTTTCTACAGAGATATTGTACAGCAATAATGTAGAAGCCACTTTGAATTTCTCAAATTTCAAACCATCTCAGAAGAAATCACTCTGAGGTAATGTTTAAAACTTGAGAAATTCAAAATGGCCACCCAGAATTTTACCTATGATTGCTATCAAGAAGATTGGAAGCTACTTCTCTTTTCTCTTTTTTTTCTTTACTTTTACCTTCTTTTCTGGATTTTTTAACTTTTTCTTTGACTTCTTTTTCTTTTCTGTTTCTTACTTCACATTAGTTAAAATTAGTTTAAATCTTTTATTTGAGTTTACAAATATTTCAGTCAGCTCTAATTGATGGTGTTTTCAAAGAACACAAACTCCTGGTTAAGGAATCAACATTAATTATGTTGAACAAAAATATCATTGATAAATTATTTCAAGTCTGATCTCTAGTTGTAATGGCTTTTTACCAGGGATGGGATTCAAATTTTTAACAACCAGTTCTGTGGGTGTGGCTTAGGTGGTGGGTGCGACTTGGTGGTCATGTAATTGGGTAGACGTGGCTTGGTGGTCATGTTATTGGCTGGGCGTGGCCAACTCAATATCACATCGAGGCATGCATCTCCTCGCCTGGCCTCTCATGACTGTGGGGATGCCGCAACAGTCATAAGTGTGAAAAATGGTCATGTCACTTTTTTCAGTGCCATTGTAACTTTGAATGGTCACTCCACACAAGCAATGTACCAGCAAAGGAGGGGAAAAAAACTCCTGAGGTTCCTGAGACAGGAAGTCTAGTCCTGCTAAGAAAGTAATAAGGTTAACAGAGAGGCAGTTTCTGTAAGCAACATCAGAATGTTTCCTTCCTGCCTTCCTTACAGGATTAGGCCAGTAATTTCTTCTAACAACCGGTTCTCCGAACTGCTTAGAATGTTAACAACCGGTTCTAGCGAATAGGTGCGAACTGGTAGAATCCGACCCCTGCTTTTTACCCCTAGAATAAATTATTGCCATGAAATTTTGAACTGATCTGTACCATTAGGTGGTAAGTAGTAGAAAGCAATTTGAAAAGACACTTGTAACATAAGGAAAATGAAGCTGGTATAGCTGATGGTTCTAAGCAAGTGCCCAGTGCACCCTAAAAGACAAAAGCATAAACATTATTAACATTCAATATAAATTCAATAAATAAATAAAATAAATAAAACATTTCTATTCATCACACAATCCTTTTTTTAAAATGCAACAAAAGAGTAAAAGCCTATAATTTAAAAAGTTGCTTTCTAAATTATGATGCTACTATTTATGAGAGAAAAAATATCTGCCTTCCAGAATGGAATTAATCATAAAGGGATATCTAATTAAAATTAAATTATGATCTAATTAAAGCCAATTAAAGTCAAGTATGTGTAGATAAATTAAATTAGTCACAGATTTTCAGACCAACATTGAAATAGTGCTGTGGCTCTTCAATATGATCCAAAGAATATTGTGATTTAGAACAGGGGTCTTAACCTTGGCCACTTTAAGCCTGGAGGACTTCAACTCCCAGATTTCCACAGCCAGCTTTGCTGGCTGTGGAATTCTGGGAGTTGAAGTCCTCCAGACTAAAAGTGGCCAAGGTTGGAGACCCCTGATTTAGAAGATTCTGTGGGAAATGTTCTGAGGCAAGAGCAACAAGTGCAGATCAGAGACCATAAAAGATGCAGTCTAGCAGTTTATTCCACTTTAGTCAACCTTTTACTTATTCATTTCCATACAATCTTTATTATTTTTATAAATAACTCAAGACAGTGAACATTAACTTCCTTTCTCCTCCAGCTCTTGTCAGGTGACCTGGGCTAAGAGAAAGTGACTGGCCCAAAGTTATCCAGCTGGCTTTCATAGCTATAGTGGAACTGGAACTTACAGTCCCGTTTCTAGCCTGGTACTTTAATCACAAGACTAAATTGATTAAATTATATATGATACAATTTAGTTAATTTAGTCTAGTGTTTAAAGTCATAAAGTACTACTAGATTACTAAATTATACACTATAATTAACCTGATTGTAGTTCAATATGCTATAGTCAACATGGCACCCTCAATGGGTTGAAGCTATGATTCCCAGAATTCTGTAGGCATTTGGCTTTGTCAATATTGACTGTAAAATATGGACACTAATCAATACCTATCTGGAGGTCATCAAAAGGTGAATTATGATTTGGTGGATGTTTGCCTACCTTGCATTGTAATATCATTTGGTCTGGGGCACAGTGGGAGAATTAGCAGGAAGATGAGGTAGACCACAGATAGCCCATTGTATCTGCAACCTATAGCTGTGAAAATAGCAAAATATTATTCTAAATTTGTGTAATTTTACTATAATATTAAGACAAATGAATACAAACTGAATTCAAAGTATAGGTAGTTAAGGCACATAGTTCAATATTTGTCTTTTTTTAAAAAAAAATTTCCAAAATATTTTACATTATTAGCTAGCTGTTCATTTTTTCTGAAATGCAAATGATTTCACCCAGATTTTTCTCTGCTGACGTAGCCAATTCAGTGATAAATGTCTCTGAAACCATCTATGATTATCTAACAATAGCAGGAAAGTTTTAAAAAATGCATATCCAGTGTAAATACATTGATTTTACCTATACAGTAATTAAAATTTAAGTTATATAAACTATACATGAAAGTGTACCTTGCCTAATAATGCTTATAAACACATCTTTCACTTCTGAAGATTATTTATTTTATTTATTCATGATTTTAATTACATTTTAATTTATGCCTTTCTTTTGTTCCCCGCCATCCTCTTTTCCATCTCTTTTTATATTGCTCACTTTTTAGTGTGACTCTCAACGTACCACATAATTTGTTCTTTGACACACATATATACCCCATAGTTTATCTAGAATAGAATAGAATACCTTTATTGTCATTGCATTCTACAAATACAATGAAATTTGAAAGCTACTCCAACACAGTGTCCCAAACACCACATCACAATCACACTACAGAGTATTTAAAAATTAAAATAATTTAAATAATAATTTTAATTATTATAAAATAATAATAATAATCTACCTATGTCGTGAGACTTTTTCCATATAAAAATGGCTTTCACATCTTTAGTTATTCTTCTAAACTTTTTGCTTCAACCCTAGACTTGTGGCCGTAACTAAGCCCATTGTACTTTTAAATGATGGCTGCATTTTTTTTCCCTTTTGCATAAAAAGATGGGAGATTCCATTGAATTTAGTTGGACTTCCTCACAAATAAACATGCATGCACTTGCACTCAGGCAAATCACTATTTTCCAGCAAGCCTGCCAATCTGGTTATAAAAAGTAAATTTTTCTTCAAATTGAGGTTGATTCTGATGATTATAAATTACAGATTAACAGAATTGGAAAGGACCTTGTAGGGTCATCTAGTCCAACCCCCTGCCCAAGTAGAAGACCCTACACTATTTCTGACAAATGGCACACTATGTCGATTTCTTGGCAAGAATGCAGAAGTTATTTGCTATTGTCTCTTCCTAGGAAGGTTTAAGTTTTAAGCCTTGTAATTCCCAACTAGCACTAACCAGATTAAATAGATTAAACAGATTAAACACTTACTAGTTTAGCCAAACAAACTCAATTAAAAGCTGTATCCACCCTCTTTAAATGAATTCCTTGATTTGAATAACATTTTGTAATTGTTTCCGCTTATCAAAACAAAACAGCAATTGTATGTTTTAATGGAAATATAGAAAAGTCTGTAAATTTTCCATCTGAAAAAATATACAGCATTCCCAGCCAGCTGTTCCTTTTGGACAAGCATTCCAGTATCCCCATCAATTTTGTTTTTCACTGAAACCGGTACTAAATATTTCACAGCTACAGAGCGTATCTGCTTTGCTTGGTGCACGCTGTATTTCCTTTCTATTTTATATTGTACTTAATATCATATACCTTCAAATCAGCCCCTGGGTTTGCTTTATATGATAGATAGTGTATGTTTTAAAATAAATAATATTAAGCCTAAGCAAGCAACCAATTCTTATCCATCCTGCTGACTAGGTCTAATTCCTTTCTTCTGTCATTTTCTCCATTTCATCTACATATTCTAAAATTGAATTCTTCAGTTTCAACTATTATAAAAGTATCTTGAAACTATTTAGAAGCCACAGTCTTTATATCTTTGATCTATATTCATTCTAGTGAATATGAAATTATAAGAAATAATTTCAAAGCAGGTCAATCTTCACTACAATTTCATATTGAATCAAGAAACATAATTTGTAGAATCTAGAAGGACTCAAGGCAGTTTTGTTGATTTCTACAGAACAAATGTAAACCTGCGCATAAGCATAAGAGAATACTACAAGAAAACCTGTGTTTAACCAAATTTGAAAGTGAAGCTGTTTCATTATTTTCTTAACTCCACACTAATATGCACAATTTTTTCCCTATGACCTTAACACAACATAAATGCATAATCTTATTTTCCCTATGACCTTAATACAACATAAATGGAAATGTCTTACCTGCTATTAAAAATAGTGGTAGTCCTATTTTGAAAACTAATCCATAGATTAAATAATTTCCCATGATCTTGTTCGTTTAGCATAAAGTTGCAGATAGGGAGATCAACAGAAGCAGTGAATAGCATGAATGGCTTGTCTTACACAACTTGGCTAGAATAAGTAACTTCAGACAACCCAACCTCTTTCCACTGTCCATTTCACTATAAATATGAATTCCCCACACCTTTTAAAACCTCACTCCAAATAGCCTCAGTTTACTGATCAATTGCTCTGTATTAATTTTTTACAAAATGTAAAATGAAAATGGGTGAATCTCCATTGATCTTCATGTTATATAAAATGGGAAATATTGATCCACTTGGCTCTCCTTCTCTGACTCTGCACTTTAATCCTATTTCTTCTTTGCTGTCAAACAAGTGCTCAGAAACCTGGCTGTTGGATCATCATTGATCTATTTCCTTTTCCCAAGTTCTCTTTGTTTGGTTCCTTTTCAGATCCAAGTAATCCACTACAGCAGTACCAAATGGCTGTAGAATTACTTCAGTAGCTACATATACTGTATTTTGTACTTTCTTCCTTTACTAAAATTTCAGTTTGAAATTCCTTTAGACATTAAAAATCTAATTTCCTATTAATCTTAATACAGTTAAGAACATTCAGTTCCAAATCACTTTGTCAGCTTTGAAATTCAGCTGCCACATTTTTTAGAGAGTTAGAGGAGTTGAAAAGTTCAAGGTTATTCTGTGTGTCGTAATAAGAATTTCTAGTTGCAGTTAATTGGTTCTCGTGATTTATGAAGTGTAGAAGTGGAAGGAGAGAAGGTGGGTTCTGTGTAATGCGCCAAAAAACTTTCACTTGGGAAATTGCTTTTGAACATGCCAGATCTGTTCCTAATAAATCGATTGGAGAGATAACATCTCAAAGTGATTGATATCATGGATACTTTCTGGATGAATGACATTTATTTCCCAACTCTTTTATTTTTTGAATGGGCTTGGCTGATGCCCCCGGAGTTCTTTTCCCAGAAATGGACAAAGGGCAGCAATCAGTCAAAGTTGGAGGTGTAAAGGGGGGAGCATGTAGGGGCCCTCCCTCCAGAGCATTAATTGAACCTGCCAGCCCTTGTTTGGAGGAGATGATGGATGCTTTCAGGATGGCAGTAGGAGAAAGAGATTAGGGAGCTATACCGAAGTGTTTCAACTCAAAAAGTTGTTATAACCCAGCTGTCTGAAGAGAAATCTGAAGAGAAAACCCAGCTGTCTGAAGAGAAATCTTTCTCTAGACCCAGGCATATGGCTATTTTGTCGGATTGAAGGGAAGAGAGACAATTGGGGTCATATTTCTTTCAAGAAGACAACCCCCCGATTATTTCTGGAAGTCCATCAAGGGCAGATTTACATCAACAGTTCCAGAATTTAAAGATGACAGATTTGGTCTCACAGTCTGTTTGGACAGGTGGAAGCTTGAGACCACCCATATTTACTTACCCAAATATCATGAGGAACAAGGAGACTATACAGATGCCAGTTGGAGGAAGCTAGAAAGAAGCATCAACTAACAGAGGTATGTTGCCATCGCAGAGGCAATCCCCTCATTTCCCAGAAGGAATTTTTCCACCTGCAGAGAGTATCCCTCCAGGGTGGGGATTTTATCCAGGCCAGGGGTGGATTCAATGCCAATGGCAGCCAGCACCAACACAGCCCTGGTTTGAAGTGGGGTTGCCCAGACAGCAGACAACAGCCACATCCCCTCCACCTGACCAGGGAACCAGGCCACACCCATCTTCCTCCTGGCAACCACAATTGCAGCCCCAACCAGAAGCGAGGCCACAGGGACCCCTATTCCAGAGAGGCACTACCCAGCCAGGATTCAGGGGGCCTACCCAGCCTATGTACACGACCTGGCCTGTTCCTTCCATTCCAGTACAACCTGCAGGAGCCTGGCAAGTGCCACCTCTGCAACCACAACCCAGGCTGGACTGAATACCCTTTGAGGCCATCACGAACTTTTCAATTACTTCCTCACTCAAATCCGATCCCACATAGAACAATTTGGAGATCAATATGCTACAGAGCGTGATTTGGTTACAGCCATAATAAATGGGATGAAAGAAGGGGATGCTTCAGACTGGGTGGCCCAACTACACAATGAACAAGCCCCTGAATTACATGATGTAAACGGATTTATCCAATTATTAAGACTCAGATTTGAAAATCCAGACAGGGTAGCAGAGAATGAAGAGAAGTTAATGGAAATGAGGCAAGGCAAACGACCATTGTCAGAATTCATTCAGGACTTTAGAAGGGTCGCTAGCCACCTCATGGATTGGCCTGAAAGAATGACTTTACACTATTTTTAAAAAGCCATTGATCCAGAAGTAAAGGCCTGTGAAATTAGGCAAATCCCAGAGACCTTACAGTCGTGGTATACTGCCTCCCTCAGCTTAGGTCACAGCATCAACCCACACAGGAAACCCCTCCCGGCAGCCCCGACTAAGAGAATTGTGGCAAGGAAACCACCGACCGGACCAGCCGAACCTGCTCATACCTGACTCACCAGGGTGCTGAAATGTTACTGATGTGACCAAACCAGTCATAGGGCATCAAACTGTCTAGCCCCTACTCCTGTGCCACAAGCTCCGCAGTCAAAGACTAATACAGCTGTTAGAGGTCGGAAGAATCAAGGAAGACCTCTGGGCAGAGATGGGTTGAACAATTGGGCATAAAGCTAAAACGCCCAATCAGATTTGAGCACGTGGATGGAACCTTAATTACGGGGGGGGGGGGCAGCCACTCAATTGACAGAATTAATCAAGATGGAATTAGGGCCCCATCACGAACTCATACATTTCATAGTGGCCCCAAAGATGTCAGAATCAATAATACTGGGACTTGCTTGGTTAGACAAATGGGCCCCAACAATCAAATGGAAGGATGGATTCAGAAAAATCCATATTGGACTGGGCCCATTGCTCCCTCTTCTACCCACTATAAAGCCACTAGTCAGCTTGAACCCAGAGCCTGAGCCAGCATCCATGGCACCCCATCTT